CTCGCGAGATCACAGATTACGCTCGTCTTTTCTGTTTCTTGCTTTTTATTTGCCAGCTTATTTAATTATTATTCGATTTATTTTCACGCCTGCTTCTTCCATTATTTTTTTACTTTCTCGCTTGGTTATTGTCTGCCATTTTCTCTCTGATAATATACGGCCAGTTTAGTTTGACATCATTTTTTTTTCGTCTTTTCACATTTTTTGAAAATAGAATTTTCATAATGTTTATTCTATTTTTATGGTTGGCTTTTTTTCAACTTCTGTTCTTCCTACTTTCTTTTTGTCTTAACTTTCCAGCATTTTTTTGTTTATCCCTCCTTCTTCATCAGGCTACGCTTTTTTCTCTCTCCGCTTTTTCACGATTAATTCTCCTAATTTTTTTTTCCATTTTCTTCATTCATACATTTTACCACGCCCTTCCATATTCTGTCTTCTTTTAGTAGGATTTTTTTTCCTTGCTTCTCTATAGACTTTTCTTTCTATTCTTCGGATATGTTTTATTTATTTTTATTTATTTATTCTTCATCTTTCTTTCATTTTTCTTTTTTTTTCTTTTCACCTTTTGCATTATTTCTTTCTTTAGTTTGTTACATACATTTCTTTGTTCCTTTCTTTCTTTCTTTCTTTCTTTCTTTTGTTCCTGATCTTTCTTTCTTTCTTTCTTTCTTTCTTTCTTTTCTTTTGTTCCTGATCTTTCTTTCGTTCCTAATCTTTCTTTCTTTCTTTCTTTCTTTCTTTCTTTCTTTCTTTCTTTCTTTTCACGCTACTGCAGTCTTTCTTTCGTTTGTTACAGATCTTTGTTTGCTTGCTTCTTTCTTTCTTTCTTTCTTTCTTTCTTAGGATATTTTTTTCTTTCTTCTCTATGTACCTTTATATCAGTTCTTCGGATATATTTCTTTACTTCTTTCTATCTTTCTTTCTTTCTTTCTTTCAATCACTCTTTTTTTCTTTCTTTCTTTATTTTCTTTCTTTCTTTCTTTCTTTCTTTCTTTCTACTGCATTCGTTCTTTCGTTTGTTAAAGATATTTCTTTCTTTCGTTTGTTACAGAGATTTTTTTCTTTCTTTCTTTCTTTCTTTCTTTCTTCTTTCTTTCTTTCTCATACTCTACTGCATTGCTATCGTCCCTTTATTTTGTTTTTTTTTTTAGAAAAGAAAAGAAGGTATATAAGATGTAAGCAGATTGACTCAATGAAAGTGAGAGGGAGGGAGAGGGAGAAGAAAAAGAGAAAATGGAGGAAGAGTGATGAGATAGAAGTTGAGGTAGAGAAAGTAAGAATAGAAACGGATGAGGGATAGTGGTAGGAAGAAGAGAGAAAGAGAAGATGTTTTCTGGATATATCAGTAAACGCTTTTCGATTTGCCGTTGCGGTTTTAACGTTTTTTTTCCCGACACACCCAACGTCTTCACCATGCTAAACCGAGGCCGTCACTATCTTTCTTTTGTGGTGAATTCTTCTCGTTTTTGTAATTATTTCTTGTTATTTCATTTTCCTTCAGTTCTCGTTTTTCTGCTTACAATGGTATCTTTTGGTTACAAATATTCTTTATTTGTTCGAATTTTTTTTTCAAAATGGCGCTTTGGGCCGACGGATTTCAACCTCCGCCTTCTCTTTTTGCCGTTCTCCAGTTTTTCCTCCTACTCATCTCCTTCTACATCTGAAAATTTCTAATTCTCAACCTTCTACTTAACGTTTTCAATAATGTGTATAAACAGTTTCTTTTTTTTTATTCGTTCCTTCTCCATACTGAATTTTATTGTTCTTCCAAATCCATTGATTTCGTTCGGTAAAACAAGCAGGGACAATCACTAACTTGGACATTCAGATCAGTAAATATAAAAATAACGTATAAACAGAATATATATATATATATATATATATATATATATATATATATATATAGATAGATAGATAGATATTGATAATATTAGTGGTAAATATACACATACATATGCAATCATATATCTAATATAAATATATATACATACATATATATTTGTATAAAAATAAATCCAAGAAAATAGAATCCAGGACAATGTCCAGGACAGAGTAAGGATATAATAAAAAGGCATAAACACTAATATTCCATGGTTATAATTTATTCCATTGGAATCGTAAACACGATCCAATTCATCAGACCTACAAATTCAAAAAGAAAACAGAAAAAAACAACTCCGGAAATAAAAAAAAAATAAAATTTCATGAGAGTGTGGAACGAATGTTAGAGTAAACGAAAGCTATAGGGAGGGGTAACAGACGAGAGAAGAACAGTAAGGTCTAAAGATAAAGGGGGGGGGGTTAAAATTTAACAGAGAGAAGTTTTAAAGAGGGGAGTCAAAGACGATATATATATATATATATATATATATATATATCAGTGATATTTTTTTTATTGTTAGCGTTTTGTTAACGAAAACTTAGAGAGAGTAAATGTATAAAGCAAGGTTATGTGTTTGCGCCTGCTGTAGTTATTATTTGTATTACTACCACACTTGCTGCAGCCGATGATGGTATGCCTGAATTTTTTATTAAAAATATTCATCTGTTAAACTCATATAAAGAACTCAACCTAAATTTAATATCACCCGTCAAAAATGACCCATCATTTTTTAGGAATACTACGCTATTAACGTAGATAAAAAAAAACAAAACAAAACAAAACAAAACAAAAAACAAGGATCCTATGTACCTTTATCACTTGGCGTTTACTAAAAAGCAAATTGGTTTCTCGAAGATTGTTTCCCGAACAGAACTAATATGGCCGCCCAAAAGCCTTATAAACAAACAATAAATTAAAAGAGTACAAATAAATGGACGAAAACATTTGAAAAAAAAAGGGGAGAAATAAATAAATAAAGAAAAAAAAACAAAACAATAAATTCATTAACATAGTAAAACACAATTTGAAAGACTATCGGGAATATACTTCGACTGGCGATATATTTCATAGGGATTTATTTATTTCGAGTCTTTTTTTCCGACAGAATAATCCGAAACGTTTGACTCATTTCAGTAATAATAATAAGAATAAGATAAAATGAGATAGAGAATAGTTGGCCATCTCTCTCTCTTTCTTTCTCTCTCTCTCACTCTTTCTTTCTTTCTCTATCTCTTTCTTTCTCTCGCTCTCTCTTTCTCGTCTTTCTTTCTTTCTTTCTTTGTCTTTCTTTCTCTCTTTCTTTTTCTTTTGCTCTCTTTTCTCTCTCTCTTTTTCTTTCTTTCTTTCTTTCTTTCTTTCTGTGTCTTTCTTTCTCTCTCTCTTTCTCTTTTTCTTTCTCTTTTCTCTCTCTATTTCTCTTTCTTTCTCTTTCTTTCTCTGTCTGACCGTATCGCCTTGACTTTCTATTGTTTCATTTCACCTTCTATCTGAAAATAATTTGCATATATATAGGGATGATGAAGAGAAGACACAAAACACGGTCTAAGGTCTTCCAAGATAAAAGTGTAAAAATGTCACAACAAACGGTGTCAGCAAACCAAAGTGAAAGTGTTAAGGAAGTTCCTTAACGTATTGACTGCCAACCATGCGTTAATTTCAACCATTTTTACGCCATTACCAACCAATGCGAGGCAAGATTTCACAGCTTGTACAAATGCTGAATATTCGAACAGGCGACGACAAATTTCTTCTCTTCGACGCCATATTTATGACCAACGTATTTTCATAGTTTTTTTTCCTTACTTACTCGTAATTGGCAGTAATTTTTTCGTTTCATTTTCTAATGTGACCCCCAACTTGTTCTGATTTTTTTTTCAGTAATGATTTACCTAGAATTACTTTTCTTTCTTTCTATATTTGCATGCAGTTCTTATATTCTTTCTTTTTATTCATTTCTTTCTTTTGTTCCTTTTCAGTAAAGTTTTCATTTTCTTCTTTCTTCTTCAACTCTTCTTTATCTTCTTTCTTCTCCTCTTTTACTTCTTCTTCTTACTTCTCCTCTTCTTTTTCTTCTTCCTTTTCTTTTACATGTAATTATTTCTTTTTCATCTTTCTTTCTTTTCATATAGTCTTTTGTTTGTTTGTTTCTTTCCCTTTAAATGTACTTCTTTATCACTCTTTTGTTTTTCTTTCACTTTTTAATGTAATTTCTTTCATACGTTCAATCGTTTTTCTTTCTGTAATTCTTTTCCACCTTTTTCTTGCTTTATATATTTCTCTTTTTAATGCAGTATTTTCTTTCTTTCTTTATTTATTTTCCTTACAGTTATCTGTTGTCAATTTTTTCTTCTTTATTTACTGTTTTCCGCCGTATTTTCAGCTTTGTTCTTTCTTTCTTTCTTTCTTTTCCTTGCACACATCTATTTTACAAGTTTTCTTCTTTCTTTATTTACTGTTTTCCTCCCCATTTTCAACTTTGTTTATTTGTTTCTTTCTTTCTTTCTTTTCCTTACACTTTTCTGTTTTCCACGTTTTCTCCTTTATTTACTGTTTTTCTCCCCATTTTCAGCATTGTTCTTTCTTTCTTTCTTTCTTTCAAAAAAAAAATTAAAATGAGGTGCCCATTAAATTCTTTTCTTACATTTGATCCGTGGTGTAGTTTACATAAAAATGTACTCATCTTAAATTAGTTTGGTACAAGGCCACACATTTAGAGTTGCCAATGGTGGTCAATAGCACTCCTGTATCTGTTTTGCGAAGCGAGCTTAGTAAGGCTTGACGAGGCACTCTTCTCACCTTTTTCTTCCTTCGCTTCGTCTCTTCCACCCAAGACGATGCATTAACACCTATTCTCTATCGTTTGCTCTTCCCTAAGACAACTGCTTCAAAAGCTTCTATTCTTCAACGATTCCGTCTCGCATTTTAAACATTCGCCATTTTTATTTTACTTTTACACACGCCAACAGCATTTCTTTCTTTCTTTCTTTCTTATGCATTTATTTTTCTCCTTTTGTCTTTTTCTTTTTAATGAAATTCATTCATTCGTTTTTCTTTCTGTAATTTTGTATCCCATTTTCTTTCATTTCTTTATCTAAATTTCTTTCTTGCTTCGTATCCCATGTCTACATGTTTTCTTTCTTTCTTTCTTTCCATAGCTAAATTTGATTTTCTTTCTTTTTTTCTTTCTTTCTTTCTTTCCATAGCTAAATTTAATTTTCTTTCTTTCTTTCCATGGCTAAATTTGATTTTCTTTCTTTCTTTCTTTCTTTCCATAGCTAAATTTGTTTTTCTTTCTTTCTTTCTTTCTTTCTTTTTCACTTTTTTATATACATATTTTTCTTGTTTTGTCTTTCTATTTTTAATGCAAGTTCACTCATTCATTTTTCTCTTTGTTCCTTCTTTCTTCTCCCCAAGAGGACGCAACATGGAATCATTCTGGAACCTTCTAATACTCTCTCTCTCTCTCTCTCTCTCTCTCTCTCCATTGACAACCCTTTCGTCATCTTCTCGTCCTCAAAAATCCTTTGTGTCACTTTACGCTTTCCTTATCTTTATTTTTATTTCTCACCACATCTCTCCTTTCTTTCTTTCTTTCTTTCTTTCTTTCTTTCTTTCTGTTGTTGCTCCACCTATTTCTAGCACCCACTCATCCAGCCCTGACCGATGTCAACACTTCACAATGCCTCCAAAAACCAATTATGGGTGTGAGAATTGTAAACTCCTTCTTAAGCTAACGTAACGACCATAACTTAAGCGCCTACGGTAGTGTTCTTTTGTGGCCTGTACATGTGGATCGTATATTAGCGCCGCTACACGACAGGTTTACGAGAGGAGAGAAATACTTTACTTTGTAGCAATGGCTGCCCTTGTCGGAGAGACAAGCAACTTCCGCTTGTCCGATTCAACTATACAAGGAAAAGGAAGTGATTTTTACAAATAAAACAAGATGAAGGAAATGGAAGGAAGGAGAAGAAGAAAATGCGAAAAAAGATAAAATAAAAGCAATAATAGGAAGAAGAAAAGGAAGAAAATACAAATTAAAATAAAAAAAAATGATTTACAATGAGAAGATCGACTAGTTAGAGAACCATTTTTAACAAAATGGTTGTGGTGATACTTTCAAATATATCTAATGATATTCGTAAGTCGCTTGGTACATCTACTAACGTGAATTAGAGTACTAATCCTTTTGTTTTTCAGAATGAAAATACAAGAAAAAAATGTAAAAAAAAAAAGCTAGAAAATTTGCAGCAAGGAGGAACAAAAAGGATTATAACAGAATATATTAGAATAATAGAATATAATGTTTATAAAAGAAAATAATAGAATGAATATAATAGAAATATATAACAGAATAATGGAATATAATGATTATTAGAATAATGGAATATAATAGAATATGACATAATATAATGATAGAATATAATGATTATTAGAATAATGGAATATAATAGAATATGACATAATATAATGATAGAATATAATGATTATTAGAATAATGGAATATAATAGAAAACACTGATTATGATATAATAAAGAATAGAATAATTATAACAGAATCAGTCAGTTATGTGCCATGCGTGATAGACGATTAGGCGATCATGTACCTTTCGATACATGACTGACGAAGCAGATTTTCCCCGCAGTAGGTTGCCATTTCTTTCAGCGGTAGACCATTTGCCATCCAAGGCTATAGAACCCGGTCTGTCCTTCAGTCAATTATATGCCATGCGTTATACACGCTTAAGCGATCATGTATCTTTTGATACATGACTGACGAAGCAGAATTTTTTTCCCCGCAGTAGGTTGCCATTTCTTTCAGCGGTAGACCATTTGCCATCCAAGGCTATAGAACCCGGACTGTCCTGATATTTACCCATAGCTAGGGGGAGAAAAAGAGGATTCATACCTTTACCAAGGGTATCAAATCACGTAATTGAATATCAGTCAGTTATGTGCCATACGTGATACACGCTTAGGCGATCATGTACCTTTCGATACATGACTGACGAGGCAGATTTTTTCCTGTAGTAGGTTGCCATTTTTTTCTGCAGTAGACCAGTTGCCATCTAAGGCTATAGAACCAGGTCTATCCTGCTACCCATAGCTGGGGGGGGGAGAAGAAGAGGATTAATACCTTTCCCAAGGGTATTAGCACGTAAGTGAATATAATGGATTCGACTGCAATTCGAAATCGGCTCTCCGATTCCTCAATCCGAACTGGTAATGATTATATTACAATATAATAACAATATAATCATTATAACTAAATACAATACAATAAACCATTATAATAAACTATATTAGAATAAAAGAATAAATGATTACAATAAAAAATAACAGAATACTAGAATATAATCTTTACCATAGAATATAAAAAATAACAGGATATAATGATTATAATAGAATAATGGAATATAAGATTAGAAATGAGAATAATAGAATAGAATAGAACGACATGATATCATGATTATAATATATAATAATGAAACAACAGAATAGAATATTTATAAAGAAAAACAACAGAATAGAATAATAACAGAATATAATCATTATAATCTTAAGATGGAGAGCCTGACTGGTCACCGACTTCGAATGGTCCGGGCAGCACCTTGCCCGAATGCCAGACATCCGCTTAACTCCAAAAAACCCTCTTCTCAGAGCGCGCGTCTAGCAGGAGATCACGTGGATTCCCACGTCGTCGATTCAAGGATCAGCTCAAGAACACCTTGCTGAAGACAGAAATCTATCCAGTCTATTTAGAAGATGAATAAAAATCCTTCAGAGAAGACAAAATTGGCTCAAAGAAAATCCAGAGCTCTCCATCCTTTGCCCTACCCCTGTATTCACCTCTTCAGATGCAATAGGTAGGTACAATATAGAATATAGAATATACAATTTCAATTCAGATGCTGAAGAGGCATCCTCAAACCTGTAAGATTCCAACAATTGGACATTGCAGACCGGACCCAAACAAGGAAATTCTCCTCCGCGCCAAAAGAAAATGTCTATAAGAACCGAACAATACCCCCCCAAAAATTTTAACAGAATATAATTGCACAGAAGACAGAAAGATCCGGATATTTATGTGCCACCCTTCGAGAGAGGTTCAAGACTTTCTTACAACATTGGACATTTTCACTCAAAAGAAAATGTCTATAAGGCGATTTTCAGAATATAATTGTATTTTCGATACATTTTTGACCGACAAGGCGAATTTTTCCTGTAGTAGGTTGCCATTTCTTTCTGCGGTAGACCATTTTCCATCCAAGGCTATAGAATCCTGCTATTTACCCATAGCTTGAGAAGAAGAGGATTAATACCTTTCCCAAGGGTATTAGCACGTAAGTGAATATAATGGATTCAACTGGAATTCGAAATCGGCTCTCCGATTCCTCAATCCAAGCCGTTGTCCTTTACTCCACCGCCAACAGAATAATAGAATATAATGATTATAACAGAATAAGAGCTTTTTTTGCAGTAAGATTCGCCCTTTAGAAGGCCCGGGATTGTAGTGATCTGGGAATATATCCTCTTGAGTCGGTTCCATAAAGCAGTGGTTCGCGTGAAGAAGCTTTTAGAGTGGGACTTGCTTCTCGCCAATGGAACACGGGGGGAATGTGGATGGTTTGCTACTATGTAAGTGACATGGCGTGTCCTTGCCGTGTCCTTGCCGTGAAGGTTAGAATTGGCGGGACCGGGAAGGTAGTTCGTTCAAGCACTTTGCGTAGAAATAACGATAGCGTAGCGTGGGTGTTGTTACATCCCGCCCGTGGGAGAGAAAGTTGGTTTTATTGGGAAGACTTAATGTCGCATACTGTCGCCGAAGTTTCAAGAAAAACCAACAGATTGTATTTGGGGGCAAATTATAGATACATAATAAAAATGTAGATGTATATTTGCTCTTTTTTATGTTTAAATCAAACCGCATCATTTATATGATACTCAAGTTTTTTTTTTCTATTCAAGGAGAGTGAGTTAACTGATTTTATAAGAAGACATCTATAAAATTGATTTTAGTACATATTGCGATAAGGTACAAGTTTTGTATCGTGCAATGACTCAATTGTTGGTTTGTACAACAACAACAACAACAACAACAATAATAATAATAATAATAAAGGAAGGAGAAGACGGTGTTGTGTGCTATTTATTGTCTTTGAAGAGACGAGATAAAGAAAAAAAATGACGACACGTGGAACTCTTCCAATGTCTTTTCAAAATGGCGGAACGTGAAGCGGGAAAACGTAAAACAAAATTTAAAAGGTGGAACAATAATGAAAATGTAAAAAAAAAAACCAAACAAAATTAAATTGAAAATAAAGTAAACAAAAATAAAATTCAGAAGGCACAAATAATCAGCTGACGTGTAGGCGGGGGGTGCATTTGAGTTGAAACAAGTGAAGATTATATTCGAAACTATCTCGTTCCTGCTCCATAGTTTGTATTTTGCTTTTAAGAGCGTAGAAGAAACCGAGAAAGAGAGAGAGAAAGAAAGAAAGAAAGAAAGAAAGAAAGAAAGAAAGAAAGAAAGAAAGAAAGAGGGTGTCTATGAGAGAAAAGAAGCGAGAGAAAAAAAACTGAAAGAAAGGGGGTCAGAAATAGGTCGAAAACGATTTTCCCGATTTTTTTTCTTCGGAAAGAATAATAGAAAGAAATCTCATTCTTTTGAGAAGAAAGGAAATAAAAAAAAAGTTTTAACTGGAACAAGTCACAAGAAGAAAATGGGAGAAGAAAAAATAGAAACATTTTCAAAAACGGATCTAACTTTACAAAAAAAAAAACCCATTAGCATACATAATAATTCTTCTTAATCTATGTGCAGTGTCCTTTGAGAACGGGGAAATTAATGGCTCTCCACAACTTCCTATACCTTATAGCTTTTAGTAATATCTTTTAATCTGTTTATCCCCTACATGTTCTGCTATCTATTTTCACAAACTTTTTTGGTAACTCGCTGTTTCCCTTTGCCCCTAATGACTTCAGTATTCCCTCTAAGTGTCAATTTCGTCAATCCTTATTTTCGGAGCTATCTACCGAGGCATTTGCGACCAACCATAAATGACGATTGCTGGAAAATTCTCAGGAAAAACAATGACCTGCTTACAGTTTTATTTTAAAGACATCAAATCAGTTTACAAACATTAAAATCACTCTTTGATGATTTTTAAAAAAATTTAATAAAAAAAAATTCTTAATAATTTTTAATACTGTTGTAGTATAACTTCGGACGATAATGGGTATGTCCCATTTGCATAAATACAGTAGTAAATACTGTATGTTAGTCGGCAGTTGGAGATTCGTGATCGCTTCTCGGCCTTTTGGCTAAGATTCGATCACGGCTACGCCTAGCTTGGACCGGCTCGGGTCTGGACCAGCTAGGACAGGCCAAGACCAGTTATGATTAGCTTAGACCAGCTCTGACCAGCTTGGACAAGCTATGACCAGCTAAGGCCAGCTTGGACCAGCGGACCGAGTGAAAACACTCGGGTCCCCACGTTAAAAACCGACCTTGTGTCACAACCTGACTCAGGGGGGGTCCAAGTAGATAAACGGCAGTTGGAGATTCGTCTCCAGCTGTGCTAGTCAAACTCTATGCTTCCGGTCAGAGATGATCCCCAGACGAGGCTCTATCGATGGGTGAAACAGTTACCCGATACGGGGTCTACAGTGAAGTTTTGGCCGAGACTATAGGCTCGGATACCACACATTAAATTCGGCCTTGTGCCACATCTGACCGCATGGAGCGGTTGGTAGATATCCTGCAGTTGGGGATTCATTGTGGAATTTACTTGAGTCACTTCTAGCAGTTGACTACTTCTACGCGCCGCTGGCGAATCTTATATGTGTTGTTCTTGTCCTAAGTATTATCGTTCATTTCCAACCTTCGTGTGTTTGTGTTATTCAGTAACATACCCTAGGTTACAACAAATACGTAACCAGTTCATTCTTCACTGCCTTCAACCCTAACCTTAACATCTTTCCCTAATCCTAACTTCTAATCCTAAGCCTAACCTTAACATCTTATCCTAATCCTAACCCCTAACCCTAACCTTAACATCTTACCCTAATCCTAACCCCTAACTCTAACCTTAACATCTTACCCTAATCCTAACTCCTAAGCCTAACCTTAACATCTTACCCTAATCCTAACCCCTAACCCTAACCTTAACATCTTACATTAATCCTAACCTCTAACCCTAACCTTAACATCTTACCCTAATGCTAACCCCTAACTCTAACCTTAACATCTTACCCTAATCCTAACTCCTAATCCTAAGCCTAACCTTAACATCTTACCCTAATGCTAACCCCTAACCCTAACATTAACATCTTACTCTAATCCTAACCCCTAACTCTAACCTTAACATCTTACCCTAATACTAACTCCTAATCCTAAGCCTAACCTTAACATCTTACCCTAATCCTAACCCCTAACTCTAACCTTAACATCTTACCCTAATCCTAACCTCTTACCCTAAATCTAACTTTAGCATATTTCATACTTCCAATAGTTGGTAAATATCATAGCATAGTAGAAAATGGATAGTAGATATTGTACTATAGTAAAAAAAATGGACGGTAGATATCATACTATAGTAGCCCCAATGGTCTCATGATATGTCCTCAAAATTTCAATTATCTTTTTCTGAATCTAAGTACGAGTTTTTTTTCTTTGTGTCCATTTTCCTTAACAGTTTTTCATTTCTTTCAGGTCTTGTCCCTGGTATTTTTAGAATCCTTCTGTAGAACGCCATTTCTGTTGCACCAAGGCTCCCCTTCATCCTTGTGGAATCGACCCAGTCAACCAAAAGACCTCTCCAGAACGAAGAAGGGTATGCAACATCAGCATCGATTTGCAGAACCACACTTCCTTTCCTTCACATATCTTCTCCATCTTTGAAGATATTTTCCAGCATTCACTTTCATATAGGATGACTGATATTACATAACAGATCAGTCATCTTTTCTTTGTTTCTCTTGCTTCAAGTCTCTTCTTCATCTGTGAGGAGATTGTCCAGCATCCACTGCCAAATAGGAGTGCTGATATTACATAACAATTCAGTACCCTTTTCTTTGTTTCTTTTGCTTCAAGTCTCTTCTTCATCTTTGAGGAGATCGGCCATCATTCACTTTCATATAGGAAGACCGATATTACGTAACAGTTCAGTACTCTTTTCTTTGCTTCTTGCGAAATTTTCCTGTTTCTTAATATTTTGCTTAGCTTTTGGAAGTCACCCATCAATACGTCAATGTTCCTTCGGATTTCTACTCTTACCAAAAGGAACAAATTAGACGGGTCATCTTATTCGTGTCTAACGTCACAGTTACACCAAGCATAACGGAATACTGTGATGACTACCGGGTAAGGATTAATAACTTCAGTCGATCAAACTACCCTGTTATACGTCCGGTCCATGTATCATCATCGGTAACAAACCGGTGTAAAGGGAAATGTTGGCATCCCTAGTTAAAAGACCCTTGCAGATGATGGCAAAATATTTCAAAAGCTCTCGAAGAATCTAGATGCACTCATTGCAGGTTTTTTCGTGTTAAACTCTGAAAATTGGCTGAAACGGACTTGTGGATGTGCGTTAGTCTAAATTAAAATCCTAAATAAACTTGATGTCAGGTTACTGGAAAATACTTTGTGAGATAGTCGATCTGACCGTCAGTAATGAATACGATGCCCTTTTTTTTTTTAAAAAAAAAAATAACTTCTTGAAGCAACTGGGGGAATGACGAAGAAAACTGTACATTTGAAGAAGTGTTTGAACAAATCTAAACGTTGACATTGTAGAAAAAATGTTGAATATTGTGGAGGGTGCAGGAAAAGAGACGAGACCTGTTCTTTGATGCCCAGTGAAGACTCAGTCAGTTATGTGCTATGCGCGATAGACGCTTAGGCGATCATGTATCTTTCGATACATAACTGACGAGGCAGATTTTTTTCACGCAGTAGGTTGCCATTTCTTTCTGCGGTAGGCTATAAACTATAATACTGACAACTTGAAAAATAAAAAAAAAGATGTTGAAAGAGGGAAGGAGAAATAGAAAGAAAGAAAGAAAGAAAGAAAGAAAGGAAATATTTGAAAGAGTTAAAGAAAGCATGGAAAGAATGAACGTACTAATGAAAGAATTTATAAATGAAATAGACTAAAATTATAGAATAATTGGAAAAATAAAGAATGATTAGAAAGAATAAAGAAGGAGCGAATGAAAGAAAAAAAAGAAAGAAAGAAAGAAAGAAGGAATGAAAGAAAGTTCATAAATATAAAATGAAGAAGAAAATGAATATTTAAAAATTTGAAGAATGAAATTGAAAACAGAGTAAAGAATAAGTGAAAAAAATGAAAGAAAATACGAATGAAAGCAGGAAAGAAGGAAAATACTGAAAAAAATGTTACGAATGAAAAAATGACAAAGAATAACTGAAAATAATGAAAAAGAGTACAAATGAATAAATGAAGGAAAAACAATAAAAGAGAAAAGAAAGAAAAACCAAAGATTTGAAAAGGCCAAACAGACCGACAGAATGAATAAAAGAAAAAAAAAAAAAACTTTGAAATAAAAAAAATAAAAATGTTTGTGATGGTACACAATAAAAGAATGTGTAGAAAAAAACCCCTGAATGGGTGGGTGAAAAAAGAGAAATGCAAAGAAAACGAAACGTAGTGATGCAGAAAAATAAAATGGAATAACGTGACGAAACGAAATCTAACGGTAAAATAAAGAGAACGAAGTGTGTCGGGGAAGTGAGGAAAACTGACGGTGTGTGTAAAGGGGTGGATATTTTTTTCTTAAAAGACAAACAAACTAACAAACCGAAAATAAAATAACAAAAAAAAATAAATAAATAAAATAAAATAAATAAATAAATAAAATAAAATAGAATGAAATAAAATAAAAATATAAAATAAAATCGGCTACCCTCACTATTCAGCAAGGAAGCCAAAAACGAGAAAAGGAAGCCGCAGTTTTGAACCAGGCCCAACAAAAGACGCCCTTCTCTGATTCACTCCTCCGCCTCCACCGCCACCACAAAGCCCGCCTGTAATGACTGTGACACCCACCCACATAGCAGCCTCCGTATTTTAAACTCCCCTTCTCTTGACGGCCTGCTCCCCGTTATTCAACGATGTGGGAAAAAAAATGAAAGTGAAAGTGAAAGTAGAAAAAAAAAACATAAAATAGGTGTAGCACGTGACTGAACAGGAACAAGTATTTCTCAGCAGGATCTGTGGAGATGCCGGGGTAATGGAAGATCGCTTTGGAAACACAGTGACTCGAGATGGTAGCAATCATTTGGCTGAACGAACGGCTCAGCACAATGGATATACATTTATTTAACCACACACAAACGGGCGCGCACAAACACAAACACAAATATATATATATATATATATATATATATATATATATATATATATATATGCTCGAACATGTATACATTTCATATGCGATTGAATAGTTTAAGCTATAGGTAATACGAATCTTAACGAATCTGACCAGGCATCTCGGCTTCAGTCACTTTCTCACCGGCGTCAAGTAGCTTCCAACTTTACTACAAATATTTTCATGGCGACTGCTTTGACGAGCTTTTTTCCCTGGTACCCCGACTACATGAACTTAAGCGTTCTACTTGATTGGAATCTAGGTCCCAACCTTTTACTGTTGAAATAATTAAATGGAACATCCTATTCCAGCAGATTCTTTTCTGGCACTTCCCGCCTGTGAAACACCCTTCCGTTTGCTTGTTTCGCTGATAACTACAATCTTCAAAAATTTGAATGCTGCGTCAGTTGTCACGTGTTGCCTTGATCACTGGTCATCTTTTATCTTTGCCTCACCTCACCCTATAAGTAGTTTTTTGTCTCCCTTTCACTCTCTGTAGACCACTGGTTACAAGTGGCGCTCTTGCCTTGATGGGGTGAAATGATTAAAACAGAAAAAAAAAACAAAATAATTCTTAAATTATATATATATATATATATATATATATATATATATATATATAATATATGTATGTATGTATGGAAAATGTATATATATATATATATATATATATATATATATATATATATATATATATATATACAAAAAAATAATCACTCATAGAATCAATCAAGTATTAATGCGATTATTGGCGACATCCATTGCTAGAAACATAATATATGCATTAAAATACTGTTAATCCATAGTGTGAAGTGATCCTCGTCGATAAACTTGATGTCTGTAGTTTTCAGTTTATTTGATGTTAAAATAGTCCTCTATTCATTTTCTTTGTATGTAAATTATATGCTGCCTAATTTTTTTATATATATATATATATATATATATATATATGAAATTTTTATATATATTATTTATATATTATATATGCAAGGTACTTATTGGAAAGCGCTCAATATCCGTGATAGATCTAACATATTTAGTTGCATTGATGTGAGTTTCACGCTATTTGCGATCGTCAAATAAACTGAGCGTGAAACCCAGGGTCACAAACTCACATCAATCCAACTATATATATATATATATATATATATATACATATATATATATATGAGTATATATATATATATATATATATTTATATACATACATACATACATATATATATATATATACATTATGTATATATATATATATATATATATATATACATTATTCCATTATGCGCGGTGATAGAGCTAACATTATTCCATTATGCGCGGTGATAGAGCTAACATATTCAGTTGTATGGATATTATATCCATAGAACTGAATATATATATATATATATATATATATATATATATATATATATATATATATATATATATATTTTGTTACTTCTTGAGAAATGCTGGAAAAAATGAATTAGTTTAATTTTTTTAGATATTAAACATTTTGGGGATTGACAATTTTGCTGTTACACAGTTTAGACAATTTGACTGTTAAATATATATATATATATATATATATATATATATATATACCAGGAAATTTTCCACAAGTACTTACCTCTAGCCTTGGCGGCCTCGTAGTCGCCTTTACACACCAATTTTCTATCCTCCATCAAATAGAACTCATCCCCGGTGTTAAGCTGACGGCTGCACATGAGGCAGGCGAAGCATTCCAGGTGATAAACGTAATCCTGCGCCCTCCGCACGATCTGCGTTGGTGGAATTCCCTTATCACATCCGGCGCATTTCGTGCCGAACCGTCTGAAATCAAAAGCGAAAAGAAATGAAAACAAATACAATAAATAGCTTAGAAAATTTGAATTCCTTTCCCCCCAATTCCCGGCTGATAAAGACGCGGCCGCACCCGTCCCTGAAGTCGACCCCTAGCTGCAGATCTAGATTTAGACTTTGTTATGCCCGGAAGGTCATTATGAAAAATTATTGGTTTCCCATAATTATTTTTTAAACATAATCTCATACCTTGATAATGCACTTAACCCAACCCATCTCAATTTAATCGAATATATCGAACATTATACATAGAAATTTTCACATCAAATTTCAACCAATAACCGTCAAGTATCGATTGTATATTTTTCCCTCGCTTACGTGTTTTGATAAAAAAAAATCGTAACTGGTGGTATAAAAATGAAACTATAATAAATATCACTTCGCCATTTAATCTCCTTCGAAGTGGACACCTTCTGAAGCCACAAACATCTTTGTTTCCATTTCTGGAACTCCTTTTAGCGAAAAACTGCCTCGTTGCATTCTTTTCGATTGCTTCGACGTCTTAAAATCTTGTTCCTTTTAAGTAGAATTTGAATTTTTGAAGTGGTAACAATCTCAAGGCTCGAAATCTGGAGAATATGGCGTTTATAGGACCTGGGGAATTCTGTGCTTGGCCAAAAAAAAAAAAAAAAAAAACCAAAAACGCTGCACAAGCCATGGTCACAGATGAAACCTCTATACTATGATGAGACGAGCACACTCTACATACTTTCCATCCAAGCACTGCTGTGAACAACGGAAGTGAGTGAAAACTTTACAAATTAGTATGTGACAGAGTTCAAGGTCATTCTGTACCAAGAGGGTTCACTCTGCGTAGTTTAGCTCTGTTGCTATAGCAACAGTACTGATATTTTTTGATCAGATATCATACTTATTATAAAACCCAGGTTGTGTGTGTGTGTGTGCGTGTGTATGTGTAAGTTTATATATTGGATCGGATTTCCTACATTTTTCAACCGATTTCAACAAAACTTCACAGGACTACATAAAATTACCTTGCGGTGGTTCTGACAGCACCAAAAATTGGAAAAACACAATTGTTTTTGCATGAAATCAATTTGAAAACACAATTAATCGCGATAATGAAAGGGGGACAACTTATATCAAGTTATACTTATTATAAAACCCAGGTTGTTTGTGTGTGTGTGTGTGTGTGTTCGTTTATATATGGGATCGGATTTCCTACATTTTTCAACCGATTTCAACAAAACTTCACTTTTTTTTTGGCAGATAGTGTTTCTTATTGTCTTGCACACTTTTTTCTTTATTTTTACATTCCATTTACAATTGTTTATAATAAAATTCTATTCAATCGGTAGACTCATAACGATTGAAAACAATGTTTTTGTTTGAGTTTGACCAATTCGTAAAACAAAAAAACTAATTAGGACATGCGTGTCCGTCAACCTTAAACAATAATCTTTGTCAATTTTACTTTTCAGTCTTTATGATGGTCGATACTTGATCTATCTCTTACTGTTACATCCCCGTCGTATATAAAGTTTGACTAACAAATGATTGCATAAATTCCTTAAAAAAGAAAATGATGTTTTGACTCGTTTTTTTTTCTTCTATGAAGCAGAGATTGTTGTTCTCTTTTGCGATCTAGGTTTTAAATGTCATCGTCATAATTTTGCAACAATTCTCTTTCGAAGAAAGGAAGTTAAAAAAGCGACTAAACATAATAAAACCATAATGTGTCGTTTCAGTTTCTACAATCGATTTCACAGGTCAATGCATTACATATGCAAAACAAACAGATTTATTTTAATAGGAGGCAACTTTTGTCAATTCCTGATGAAAAGTTTTCTTTTTGTTCTTCATAACTAAACATATGCGCAATTTCTAATGATGTAAATTTGGGATCAAGCCTGCACTGAGGTAGTAAATTTAAAAAAAAAAAAATAATACATTAGGATTGGTTTTCAACTTTTTAAGTGACTATAGAAAACAATTTTCTATGTTCAATGAAATAGACAGAAAATATATCTATTTTATAAAAGTTGTAAATTTTGAAAAGGGTGTACCATTTGTAGTTCATCTATCTCAATCTGCTCATTATCTATCTATCTATCTATCTATCTATCTATCTATCAATCAATCTATCTATCTATCTATCTATCTATCTCAATCTGCTCATTATCTATCTATCTTAATCTGCTCATTATCTATCTATCTATCTATCTATCTATCTATCTATCTATCTAATTGAAGCAGGCATTGTGGTACAAGCCTTATATAAAATACACTTAGACTATTTCATTCTTTTTTTCTCTCTCTCTCTCTCTCTCTCACACACACACACACACACACACACACACACGCTCGTGCGCCAGCGCCTGAACTTGGGATCCCATACACACACACATACATATATATATATATATATATATATATATATATATATATATATATATATATATATATATATATATATATATATATAAGGACAACATTATATACCATGCACACTTTATGAGTACAAGTTGCATGTCTAATACGTACAAACTTTGGAAGTTATCTACAAAGGTATGTCCTAGTTTTCAGTTCATCAGAGCCAAACGTTTTCTTTATTCGTATCAGCCCTGGAGAAGAAAGCAAGTAAGTCTAGCGTCAGTATCGGCCAACGCCTTCTATTCATGCCCGCTGCACGCTTTCTGCACTGACCACGGCTAGACATGAGGTCAGCAGTTGGAGTGTAGCATTGGCCAGACGTTGACCATCGGTCACCGAGCAAGAGCCGGCCGGATGTCGGTTGAAAAGGGAATTGAATGGCGGCTAAAAGAAACAATTGACTGTTACTTTGTGTTCGTAACCAGTGAACCGTTCTTCCCGCTCAAAGCAACGACTGTGAATGGAGTCCAATAATGGCGATAGAGATCGTTACAGTTGGAGACAGGAAGAACAGCTAACTCTCCGATAATTTTTCCGAACTCTGGTTTAGCTTGGCTTGACCGTTTCTTTTAAGTCGAAACAGCAATTTGTATGGGTTATTATTCATGTACATGAATAAAATGCACACACGCCAACACGCACATTGTCACCCTACACCTATCTCTCTTTCTAACACACGCGGTATAAATTTAAAAGCGGGTGTATGTGTAGTCTTCGATACTTTCAACCGGATATTGAATTTTTGGTGGGGATAATAGCTGAAGTCAGTCTCAAGATCGGCGGCTCAGTAAGAATTAACACGAACTGGGGTCAGTTCGTGTTCATTACTAACACGAACGATATGGAAACTAATTCTTATTAAAAATGAAATATATATACTTATCTGCTATTTTGAAATCGTTAAACCGACCGTTGTCTAACGAGATATACCGATGAACCTGACTCTTAACCAAAACATTGAGGCAAGACTACAGTGGTCTTAAAGACAAAAGCATTCGGAAAAAAAAACACGAAAACTATCTATCTATCTATCTATCTATCTATCTATCTATCTATCTATCTATCTATCTATGTTACTCTGACCATTATCTATCTATCTATCTATCTATCTATCTATCTATCTATCTATCTCCGTCTGTTTGTTTCTATCTATCTATCTATCTATCTATCTATCTATCTATCTATCTATCTATATCACTCTATTCATTATCTATCTATCTATCTATCGATCTATCTCAGTCTGTTCCTTCCTTCCTTCCTTCCTTCCTTCCTTCCTTCCTTTCTATCTATCTATCTATCTATCTATTTATCTATCTATCTCAGTCTGTTCATTCTTTCCTATCTATCTATCTATCTATCTATCTATCTATCTATCTATCTATCTATCTCAGTCTGTTCCTTCTATCTATCTATCTATTATCTATCTATCTATCTATCTATCTATCTATCTCAGTCTGTTCCCTCCTTCCTTCCTTCCTTCCTTCCTTCCTTCCTTCCTTCATTCCTATCTATCTATCTATCTATCTATCTATCTATCTATCTATCTATCTATCTATCTATCTCAGTCTGTTCCTTCCTTCCTATCTATCTATCTATCTATCTATCTATCTATCTATCTATCTATCTATCTCAGTCTGTTCCTTCCTTCATTCCTTCCTTCATTCATTCTATCTATCTATCTATCTATCTATCTATCTATCTATCTATCTATCTATCTATCTCAGTCTGTTCCTTCCTTCCTTCCTTTCTATCTATCTATCTATCTATCTATCTATCTATCTATCTCAAAAGCAAATGCAGAATCTCATTTCTTGTCAATGCACTCATCCTAACACTTCTCAATTAATCAAACCGATGTACTATGTATACTAAAACCTTCAGCTAATAACTATTCAACTACGGATTTAATAATACAACAGTGAAGCAGTCTATCTAGCTAAGCTCTGTACCCATCTGTACTTCTCAAAATTTTCATCTCCAGCGGCTAAATCGTACCGGGACCGCAATAATCACCGTGGGTTGATAGTATTGCCAAACCATTTGCAATATAAGCTTTTCATTTTCATTTATTTCTATTATTTCATCGTATGTCTAGCCACACTGAAGAGCTGTGATACATCGAAACAGTCTGTCTATGGATGACAATATATTTGCTCCCGGACAATCCGGTTGAGCTCTGTTGAGAAAAGGGTAATTTTAAAAACAGTAGCTCATACCGCGGTTAGTGCATTGCTCTTCAACCGAATTGAGCTCTCCGGGCCGGTGACGTCTTTTGCATAGAAAATGTTAAAATTTCCCTTCGTCTATGCCGTGCGACAATAGCCTTGGAGTAGAATCTCTTACACGGGTTTCGATCCCGGCTTGAAGCAATCGGATGTCTAGCCTCACCGAAGAGCTGTGATAGAGCGAAACAGTCTGTTTGTGGACGACAACATATATATATATATATATCAAAGGTTTTCTTTTTGAA